GAGAAAGTGGAACTGGTCAGTCTCTATGAGTGGAGATAGAATTCAAAGTCTGAGCACATGCTGCCTTTTATAAGCCCACTAATTTGTCCCAACTTTCCCCTGGCAGGATTGGTTGCTGTTTCCCACCTCTGGGGGTGATTGACAGGTTGGGGTTATATAACAAGTTACATAACAAGTTGGTTATGTTTCCCTTTCTGTGCATGTATTTTTCCCAGAATTCTTCACGAAGCTCCACCCATGTTGTACTAATTATATGTTAATGAGCTCTGGGTCAGTTCAAGGTTACTAGGAACTTTTTACTATGTATGGTCCCACCAGGGAACAGTTCCTAGCTGCAATTGCTGCCTAGCTTCAATTTAGTTCCCACTCTCTGCTCTTAGCCATCTTGTTGCCACCTGTTTATCCTCCACCAGACCTAAGAATTTCATGGTTGAAAAAATGTCACTAAAGCTCCCAACTTCATTTTCTTTTTCAAAGCAGGAAAAAAGTGATTAGCATCATCTACTCCCAACTCTTACTTTTAAAAGAAAATAGAAGCTTTACAAAGAATCTTGCCATCCCAGGAAATTTCTTTTTAAATTTCACTGTTTGTATCTGCTGCATAAAAACTAAAGAAAACAAAAGGAGAATGTGTATTTAAGCTTTCCCTTGTGTGGGCAGATGAGTAAGGATTTTGGATTAAGTATAGGATTAGCCAAACTATATTATCAGCTTAAACCCTTATGATCATTTATATAATACTGCATGATTTTTCCAGTGGCCAACTCTTTTAAGTAACGTTTCCTCTGTGTAGCAGTGCTGGGTGCCACATGCTTAGAAATTATCTTAGTTCGTTTGCTGTGTCTTTAGATCTGAAGAGGGTTAAAGATCAAACAGCAGTCACTTGGTAAGGTATATTTTTATACTCGCTATGCATTTCCTTCCAGAGTGTATGAGAACCCATCACAATCCATCTTTTCCTCCCAGCAGGATTTATACTTGGTTGGGAGACTTTGCAATAAATATAAATTGCTTTTGTAAACTTTTAAAAATCTTCTATAGAAAACAGTATCTCGTAACAGTAAACAATTACATAATTCTGAAAATGTGCCACGTACGGTCTAATACCATTATAACTATTCACTTATTTATTTTGGAGATAGTAAAACTGGAACCCCACAGAGCTTAAGTGAACTACCCAGGTCATTCTTATAGGACTTGGCAAGACCACAGTTCAAACCCAGGCAGCTTGGCTTCCAAGTATATTTAACTACGCTATATATATCTTTATACTATTTATGGTAGGGGTTATGTATCTCTTCAAATGATGTTGCAGAAAATTCTCCAGAGTCCCTTATTTCCTCTATGAACTTAAGGAAGTAAAACTATTAAAAATAACTGATGTTATACATGAATTTGTAGAAATACACAGGAACAATTAAAGTTATCATATAAATCAAATTTTAAATATCTTTACCCTTATATTTTCATTAGAATTAATATAACACAAACACCCAGCTGTCCTTTTATATCAGTATTAATTAAACCAAGGTTCCAAACACCATCAGAGATAGTTTTGAGAGTGAAGGGGTATGTTATTAATAAATAATCCAGGATAATATTTATAAAAATAGAATTATCCCCCTGTAAACCAGGACTTTTCATAGCCCTATTTTTAAGTCCTCAAGATAGTCAGTAGAATTATCTTATTTCCTTTCAACAAACTGAAAATTCTAATTTAATTCCATCCATTTTTCCTGAAGCATGAAGCTCAATTTTAGAAATACACCTATTCACTTCATGTAGGTAAATAACTGTCACTCTGTTCAACTAATATCCATAATTGTGAGCTTGTTCCTGATTGTCTTGTCAGATTTCCTACTGCTATAATTGTATTCATTATTCAATCTCTGGGATGAGAATACAAGCACATCCATGGAACAGCACAATATAAGATGTGGTAATGATCTCCAGCTTTGAAAATCATGGTTTCAAGATCTCCTTAATGTTTGTTTGCTGAAACTGCCTCAGTTTTGTCCCAGTGTGTATATTACAGTGGGAGACTATTAGCATGGTATTGAGGTTGTGGGGTATATTTCTTAGAGGAGTAAATACCTGAATAGTAATTTTATAAAATAATGTAGATTACATAAATAGATATGTTTATGTTTTCATTAGCAATATGATCTCCAAATCCAGCCAGGCAGACTTTGCACTCTTCCATTCCTGAGAGAAGATGGATGTTGTCATACATAAGGTTCATCTCTGATCACATTGTTTCCTTGCTCAAAAATATGCAGTCAATTCCAATTATCTGCAAATAAAGCCTAACTTTTTAGTCAGGCTTTCAACCCTTTCGCAATCAAATCCTACTTAACGCACTTTCATAAATTGTGTGACATAACTTTTCCCACATTCTAACATTTAAGAATCTGAGAAGAATCCCACAATCACCATTGTTCAGCATGAGTCTTTCTTTGCAGTTTAGTTTCTGTTGTGATGTTTCCGAGGTCACTCATTTTTCATCTGCTTTGTCTCATCTGCTATTAGACTTAGTGAAGGTTATTTTTATTTGAGAATTGGTGTTTTTCAATTCTTTTTTATATTTACCTTTTATCTCTTCATTATATTCTTATTGTATAGACATATCCTTGATTATGTCTATAATAGCTATTTGAAAGTTTTAGTGTTCTAATTATACCATCTCTGTCATTTCTGGTGTGTTTTTATTGAATGAGTTTCTTCCTTATTATGAATACCATTTTTCTGATTCTTTGCATGTATAATAATTTTTATTTGATGTTAGGTAGTTTGGTGCTATATTTTTGTATGTTTACTAGATTTTACCTTTTTATTAAGATTTTTTTCATAGTGGTCCACTTGTTTATGGCATGTGCTTAAGTTACAGATCAGACTGATACTTTCAAGATCTCTTTTTAAAGTTCTATTTGATAGGGAGAGAGTGGCTTTTATTTTAGGGCTACTTTACACTTTACTGTTTTTTTTTCATTTTTTTTTTTTTTTTTTAATTTCAGCATAGTCCAAGGGGGACAGATGTTTAGGTTACATATATTGCTTTGCTCCACTGGAGTTAGAGCTATAAGCACAACCATCCCCTAGATGGTGCACACCGCAAATATACCCATTATTAGGTGTGAATATACCCATCCCCTTCCACCTACCTGACACCCAATGAGTATTACTACAATAGGTGCACATAAATGTTGATCAATTAATACCAATTTGAAGGTGAGTACATGCAGTGCTTGTCTTTCCATTTTTGTGACCCTTTACTTTTAAAGCAGGATGCTTGTGGAGTCTCTGAATTTTCTAGGTGTTCACTAAAGGTTCTCCACTTATACCTATTGGTATTTGAATGTTTCCTCACTGTCTGTGAGTACTGGGGAAAACTAACACTCTGTACCTTAGTAATGGTTATTGCCTGGCCCCATGGAGTTCCCACTTGCATGTGTAACAGCATTCTATATAGCCCTATATAACCTTTTATCTCTTTATTTCTCTTCTGTTTGGTACCATGTCCCACAAATTCTAGCCATCTCAGCCTGACTCCCATCTCTTTCTCTTCAATGAGACTAATATAATTTTTGGAGTTTCTCCTCCTTGTTCTTCATCCTGGAAAGTGCTTCCAAATCAAAAGCCAGGGGGATCTCGTGATGAACTCAGTTGTTTCCCTTCTCTTAGAGTTCACTCTCCAACGATGTCTGAAAATACTTGTTTCTTAAATGTTTTCCAGATTTCTTATTTAAAGTGTAAAGATAATTTCAGTGTCAGTTACTCTGTCATATGCAAAAGCAGAAATACTCAGTATGATTTTAATCGGTAAGCGTTTCTTGTTTCAAGGTAATTCCCCCTTAATATCTTAACATTACGTTTTCCTTCCCTTCTAGGATCTAGTGTTGTTGATGTCAGCCTGATTTTATTTCTATATAAATAATCCTTTTCTGTCCTAAACACTGTATTTTATAATTTTTAAATTATTATTTTTAGTGATCTAATGTTATTTATCAATGTTAGGTTTCAATTATTGTTATTATTTTTTCTGTTATAATCTTTTGTCTTTTTGCTTTCTGAAATTTTTTATTTCTTCTCTTACCCTGCTCTGTATCTTTCTTAATCCTTCTATCCAGGAGACTCTGATTAGATTTGGCCCTTGGGAGATTCCACTGGGAGATCAAATAGAATGGGGAAGACAAGGAATTAGCCAGTGAATTTGCCTCCTAGTCACTATTTCAGGTATGGTCAGACACTGATGAAATATCCTCTTTGGATTTAGTTTTCTAGGAAAGACCCTATTTCTGTGTTTCCTTCTCATGTTCATCACTGTATTTTCTTTACATTGCTATCTTGAAACCAGCTGTGGTACCAAGGATTTCCAACCATGCCAATTAAAGATGCATATATGTTTGTCTTCTCAGATCATTGGATAAGGCATAGAGTGTTTAATGAGAGTATCAGAATAATTTTTATTAATATAGCAGAGTAATTGATGACATTTGGAATTAGTTTTTTCTCTTAATGCTTGTCTATATTTTAAATGAGAAAAAGTTAGATACTATTTATAAGACAGACTGACAACATTTTATAGCTCTTGAGAGAGCTGATTCCTATATATTATGACATTTTAAAATAAAAAAGTGTAAATTACACTGTAGTCTATCAATCCACTATTTTCTGAAGTGATCTATCCCTTTAACTGAGTGCTAGTAATTCCTTAAAGTTTTACTAAAAAATTCTATCTATGGCACATTCAAAATGAAAATTAAATGTATTTACTTCATTACTTATGATAGCTTTAAGAAATGGGAGTGTTTTCCCTAAATATCATGAGGCTTATAGAAAATTGAACAAAATTAATATTTAGAACTTATTACAATCTTACTCATAAAGTGATCCTAGGCAATATAACAAAGCTTAGAAATATTATGGGCAGATTATTTTGGGGGAAAATAAAATAAATCAAAAAGTATAGAGAAATAAGAAACAACGGCTTAATTTTTTACCATCTGGAACAGATCATACTTCTTTGTCATATTTTCATGCGGTATTTTCTGAAATAAAATAAACACAAGATTACATATAGAGTCAGGGCCCCTTTGACCTCTATTCAAGGTGTCATGTCTTTTGCCCAATCTCTGGAATTAACCACTGTCATTAAGTTGGTGGATGCATTTTAGACAGAGCACTTCCATCCTTTTGTGAACACATATACTACACATGAGTATTATAAAATATTTTAGCATTTGCATATATTTTTTATTTCAAGAGATTTAGAGGGTGCAAGTATTTTTTATACATGGTTGAATTGTATAGCAGTGAAGTCAGCACTTTTAGTGTACCTGTCACATGAATAGTGCACCTAATAGAAATTAATAATTTTGATCCCTTCCTTTTACCCACCTGCCCCATTTTTTAAACTATATTTTTTGCACACATTAACTATCCCCACTTTATCCATCTCTGTTACCCTTTCCAGCCTCTGGTAACCATCATTCCATTGTGTCTCCACAAGATCAACTGTTTTTAATATTTAGCTCCCACTGTTGAGTGAGAACATGTGAGACTCGTGACACTAGACTCCGTGATGGTAGTATATACAGCAATTGCTTGGGCTCTGTGAGGCCAGATGTAGCGGTACCAAGGATCCAGTAACAGCGAGACATTCTGACTTGGCCCTGGTGGGAACGGAAGAATACAGCAATGGCCCCACTTCCCATAGTGGTGTGGCACTTCAGAAGCTCAAACTATAGGGGACTAGTCCAATTCCAGTTAGGCTGACCACTGTAAGTTTTTGTCACAAAGGGTAAGTTGGCACAATTCAAGCAAGTCTCTAATTACCTAGGCTGCAAGATGCCACATCTGCTATGACTCAGAAAGTTCACGTCCACTGTGGTACTACTTAGGGTGAAACCACTCCAGTATGCTGAAATTACAATAGCCTCCAGAGTCTAGGTGCTGCTTTACCTGTTGGCATAAAGGGTGGGATCAACTCCTTTAGAGTTGAAGAGGCCTGAGATACCCAGGGGGCAGGGCACTGCTTTAGTTTGGCCCTAAGGGCAGGGTGCACCACCAACTAGAATGAGGGGATGGAGCACCTCCACAGGAGGTTGGCCCTGTGAAGTAAAAACTAATAGAAGGTTGGCTCAGGGCTGGCGTGCTTTCTTGTGGGTGTGTTGCAATGGCAGCAAAATCTCATAGAGAAGGTTAGCAAAGACTACTCACCCCCAAAACAGGATGCATTGTAACAATGGCTCTGGTTTTGTGATGTGCAGTGCAGTAGCAGCATGAACCACAGGTGGTATAGTCAGAGGATTGGTTCCTTCTCTGGGAGTACCTCAGCTCATGGACCCTGAAAAGCCCTTGAACTGGGCTCAACACCTGTGCAGGCTAGAGGAATCTGTGCTATCAAAAACTGCAGGTGTTTGCAGTGGTGATGGGGTCTGCTGGCTTCCTCCTGCTTATCCTTTTCCCTGTTCTAAGCTTAGTCTGCCTTGGGAGGGGTTAGAAGACAGAGGGAAGGTGCTTCCTTCCCTTCTCTATACAACCATCTCGTGTCTCTGTGCTGCTGTAAAGAATTTGTGCTGCTGCTTTGCTATTCTTGGAGCTCTCCATTAGTTACAAGTTATTTTGGCCAAATTTTAGTTTATTCCAATTTTCTAAAGGTGGAGGCTGAAGAGAGCACTAGAACCTTCTATGTCATGCTCATGTCACTTAAAAAGGCTGAATTTTTTTTGTTTCCATTAATAATGTTAGTTGTAAGCATCATTATTCATTGAATAAGCTTATCCTTTCTCAATAGATTAAGTGTAGTAGCTCTATCATATGCCAACTTCCTATTTCACCCACTGAACTATTTATATTTCTCTGCACCTACATACACTGTTTTATGTTTGGTCACTCTCAAGTCAGCGTGATGTCAAGGAGCACAGTCACCCCTTCATTTACTACATGAACAGAAATTTTTCAAAAGAAGACAGACTAATGGCCAACAAACATGAAAAAATGCTCAGTCTCCAATCATCAGGGAAATGCAAATGAAAACCACCAGGGGATATCGCTGAACTCCAGTGAGAATGTCTTTTATCTAAAAGTCCCACAAACAAATGTTGGCATGGATGTGGAGAGATAGGAACACTGTTACACTGCTGGTAGAGCTGCAAACTAGGACAACCTCTATGACAAGTAGTATGTGGATACCTCAAAGATCTAAAAGCAGACCTACCATTTGATCCAGCAATCCTGCTATTGGGTATTAACCAAAGGAAAAAAGACATACTATAAAAAAGGCACTTGCACTCAAATGTTTAGAGCAGCACAATTCACAGTCACAAAGGTGTGCAAACAACCCAAGTGTCCATCAGAACAAGAGTGGATTAATAAAATATGGTCTATGTATACCATGGAGTACTGCTATTCAGCTATAAAAAACAGTGATGAATTAATACCTCTTGTGTTAACTTAGATGGAACTGGAGACCGTTTTTCTAAGTAAAGTATCACAAGAATGGAAAAACAAACACCACATGTACTCACCATTAAATTGGAACTAATTGATCAACACTCATGTGCACATATAGAAATAACATTCCTTGAAAATTAAGCAGTTGGGAGGGGGAGGAGGAGATGAGTAAATTCACACCTAATGGGTACAATGCACACTATCTGGAGGATGGGCATAGTTTGACTCAAATGGTACAAAAGCAACTTATGTAGCCAAAACATTTGTACACCCATAATATTCTGAAATAAATTTTTAAATTTTTAAAAAAGACCTTTAAAAATAATTAAAAATTTAAAAATAAAATTATATTGGTATTCATCATCCTCTCTCTGCCATACAAATTTTAGAATAATTTTAAAGGGTCATGAAAAATATGGATATTATTTTAAATTAAGTTTATAAAAATTGTATTGTGGTTATCAGTTAATTTTGAAAAAATTTACTCCTATAGTATTGGATCTTCTTATCTATGAGTATAGTGTTTCTTTTTTTTTCTATTTAGCTTTTCTATTATGGCTATCTATAATTTTAAAAATTATATACACAATTCTCATGCATATTTTTTGGTTTATTATTAGGTACATTATAATTTTTTTAATAAAAGTCACTTGGCTATTCCATTATTTGTTGATATAGGAGCAATGCTAATTAATTTAACATTATTCCACCAAGAATCTGGTTGAACTCTATTACCTTTAATAGTTTGCTATTTGGATAATTTTCTTGGATTTCTATCTAGTTGAAAATACTTAAGTTGATATAATCATAGGTGTATTTGTTCTGCTCAATTCATTTTATTTATATATATATTTTTGTCTATTTCCTTGCCAAGGGCCACCAGGTCAGATTAATACTGAATTTGATAGAACATATAAATTTCTTATTGAAAGTGGCAATACTTCATCATTAAGTTTGTTGTTTGCTGAAGTTTATTTGCTAAATACATTGAAATGTAAGAAACTTCATTTACAGTTTTTTACTTGTTAAAATTATTATTTTATGGCTGACTTTAAATATTATTTAATTATTTATACATTAATTATGACATTCATGTAATGTTTCTCCTTTAATCCATTTAAAACACTGTTAGGTTTGGAAATCTTTTCTCTTCTATGACGATATATATTTTATTGACTCAATATTTTACTCAGGCCTCTTGGGTGGACCCAGTTCTCCTAGTTGGTTAATGAGGGCAGTAAGAGTGTTCTATGCAATGGATTGCCTGGATGCTTTTGTTTCAGATAAACATTTAAGTGATTTGTTGGATTTTTTCAGTTGATAGATTCCACCTCTAAGTAATGCCAACTAATAAGAAATTTAATACTGACTAAAAAGACATGCATTAAAAAATGTGATTTATATGACCTAATATGGCTGATCAGAGTTCATAGAAGGAAAAGTAGTGTATTGTTCCCAGGAAGTTCCCAAACAAAATGGTTTAGTTTCTTGTAGGTAATCCCAAAATTATCTTTAAAAAAAAGTTACTGTCCTTTCAAATTTTCTCAGATTGCCTACCTTGAGGTAGCCTTACAGTGTCACCTACCACAAGACCATTCCATACAGGGGGAACTTCTAGTTTCTTTCTCATGTCTAGCTTTAAAAAATATATTATTGATGTTGATTTATATAATGTAGAAAAGTCTACTTTTCACTAGTCTTGTAGTATAACTTGGTAGCAGCTTATTTCATGTTGCTTTCTACATTGAAGCAAAACAAAACTATAAAACTTTCATTTATATTTTGTTCCCTTCTTCCATAATACTTGAGGGTGGTGTATTATTAATAATAATATACTTGAATATTTAATTTATATTTTTGCATTTATGTGATATTATTTTTTGGTTTACACTACATTCATAAAATAAGCAGGTTATCTTTCCTTATTTTCCTACTTTTTATTATCAAAGAAATTTTTTATAAGATATGTTTCTTCATTATTTGAGAAAAATCCCTGTAATAGTGAGAGTTTTATTTTTAAGAAAAAGATGTTTACTGCCAAATAACATTCCTCAATGGATAAAATATTTTCAGATATTATATTTCTTTGAGTTGTTTTCTTAATTTTCCCTGATAATTCCTATTCATTATTAAAATGCATTAGAATAGATTTGTTGATAATGTAATCGTGATATTTTTCAATTTTCTTCAATTCTAATTTGTTGATAGATTTTTAATTGTATTACTTTTCCTACTGAAACTATTTTATGCTTTCCTTTTTAAGATTTTAAATATTATTTCTACTTTTTCTTTCCACTTTTGTCTTTATGATTTTTCACCTACTCTTTCTGGTCCAGGAGAGACATTATTTTATCTACATTACCACTCAATGTTCTTTTAAAAAATTATTTAATGTAGTGGGTATGTTTATGTAACTTTCTCTCACTTCTTTTATGTTTTCTGATGTTTCTTTAAAGATTGAATTTACTTCCTAATTAGGATTTTACATAAATCCCCTAAGTGTTGTCACATAGCTCTTTTGTTAGTGTTCATTTTTATTCACAGAGACAGAAGTAGTAGCATGGGCACAATTTTTCTGTTAAAAATTTTGAGA